GAAAATTTGAACTATGTTTTAGCAAGCTTTCACTTGTCAATTTACACAGTTCTTATAATAAGGGTTCAGCGAATATAATTGAATTAAAACACAGTAAATTTTCTAAGGCGGGGGATGGCATCTCTGGCGAGTCTCCAGCCAAACAATGTAGGGTGGGTGGTGGCAGCAAGGATGTCAGGACAAAGCTCGCTCGTGATCCATCAATCTGTGAGATTCTCCAAGCTTGTTTCACAGGGGATTCTGGTGGATATTTCTCCGGATTAGAAATCTGAAAGAGGCGGCTCAATGTGTATTTAGATTGTATGGTTGCCAGTTAGAACAGCTGTTGGTTTATAAAGTTTGTTGTTTTGAAGGCTTTATGACTTTCAGTTGTTTAACACCAGTCTTGTGTCAGGCCTTTGGAAGAGAGGGTAGTAGGAGTCCAAATACTTTAAATGTAATGAGCAGTTAAATATTTAACAATTGATTGCAGCTAGCCCAATATTTTTTTATTTGTTTCTGTCATAGGGGCGGCATTATTGTGCGTTCCAAATTCGTCCTCTGGAAGGTAACATCTAATTTACTGTTCACTCTTGAGCATATGCGTACACAAAGACTTATGAACCGGAACCAAAACAAAAAAAAAACGCAGGATTTGCTGCTAGATAATGGTTATGTGCAAATTTTATAATTCGGGGAGATGCTTAGTTGACTTTCATATGTGAAGGTAGTGATACTTCTGTATTGAAACAACTAGCATGAAGCTGACATCCTCAGTAGCAGGTCATTTATTTGTACTATAGTGTACTGCTTTTATGGCGGTATGTTTATCCACAGGATAAATGGAACTTTCCAGTATATATATTTCTCATAAATCTCAAGAATTTGTCTTTGTTATAAATCTCATAAATTTGTCTTTCTTATGTATTACAAGCAGATACGGGATATTTGCTCAGAATTTCTAGTATTTTATTATTATTAATAAGATACCTCAATGTAATTTATGCCTGCAGTTATGCACTTCAGTTAGTGGTGAGTCAAGTACCCAGTGTTTAAAAAGTGGTTAGAAAAACAGCTGACTGCATGCATATCTTGCATTTAATTAGTTCTTTGTGTATATGTCAAGGTGCGAGGTGTACTTGTAACCCTGCCTAAACCTGGTTACTGCAACATCCGTCCAATTAAACTTGGCATTGGTGGAGGAATCTTGCGTCGGGAGGTGTGGGAAGGGAAGGCCAGTAATACCTTGCCAAACTTCCCCTCGCCTAGGCCTACGTGCTGTATCAGTGGGAGGGGAGCGTTGAGCTCTTTAGCCTCCGTGTTTCCCCTCGGGACCTCTACTGTGCTCCAGACACTTAAGTGAGGGAAGGGGAAGATATGCTGGAAGAAATTTACCCGAGGGAGCAGAAATATGGGGAGAGGTTACGTTTATTTATACTGCTGGCAGAGAGGTGGTATATTATACCTGTAATGAGGTAGGGAGTAAGGGTAGAACACATGTAATGAGGTGGCAGCAAAGCAATCGGAAAAAGTTCTTTACCCATAACACTGATGCGTTTAGCGCTTCCCAGTAAATATAATACGACAGCCATCGTTGTTATCATCATCATAACTCGCGTATAATTTGTGCAGAAAGCATTATGCTGCAATATTAAGTTGTGAATGACATCGTGGGAAAGCATTGGCAGGTAAAAGATGGAAGATGTGTAAAAAAGATGAGCAAGGAAGATGAGGAAGGAGGAGGAGGATTGAAGAGGAGAAGAAAGGCTAATATTTGCTGGGTAAAGAGCAGACTTGTCCCATGTTGGGTTGCCTTTTACTTCTTGCTCTCCAACATTGCGTGGTGTCCCACATCTGGAGGCAGAGACCACAAGTTACGATCTCCCGGTCATTTGGTTTCTGGTCCTGTGAACATGGGTCCCGAATATCAGAAATCCATTTGAAAATCCTCGACCTCAGATGCATTCGACTGATGCAAGTTATCTTTTGGGATATAGTATAACCATTAAAACATTCTGAGGAGACACTGGGATTGGCTCCACACTTGCGCGTCACAGCATCGAATGAAGACGTATTGAAACCTTATTAGATATATGCAGCAGATAGCCACACGTATGGGGTCTCCTGTTATGGGCTTTCTCCGTTATTTGAAAGTTGGTATTATTTTCTCATGATCGTACCTGTGGCGTCGTGCTGATGGTGGCCCCCTTGCCGCATCCTAATGCCTTTGGCGCTCTAGTTTGCCAGGATTTATGTGTGCAAATTTGAAATGAATCATAAAATGTTTTCAGTTCTTATTATTTCTCTGGAACATGGGGTGAAACTTTTCCCATAAAACACGCCTGAAGAGTAGTGGAAGGCGAAGTTTACAATTTGTATTAAAAAATTGTTGCTATATTGCAACGCGGCGCAGGCTGAAGTAGGGCAAACAAACATGGAGGATAGAGCGGATGGCCAAGCTTTGACCAGAGGAAATAGCAAGTTTTTTTTTCTCAGTCTTTGCTGATGATATTGCAGACGCTTCATTTTCTAGTCTTAATAAAACATCTTACAGTTTCTTTGCCCGGATGAGCGTATTTAAACTGAATGCATTTATTAAGAATTTGTTAGAGGCATTCTTTTCTCTCTTTAAGCCTCTGCAGTAAAACCGTGCTCTGTAAACGAGGTTATAATTTCCCCCTCAAGGGAAGTTCCATGAAGCTGGTGAGGGACTCTTGATCTAGGGAAGTGGATCTGTGCTCCAGTTCCCTGAACTGAGCCTGAATACCTACCATCCCCCCTCCCCACAGGCGCGGTATAATCCTACGGATTTAGTGCTCCCCCATGATTATAATAATTATAATAAGAACATAACCTAAAGGAGGAACACTTCAATAGGCCTGCTGGACCATACTAGGCAGGTCCTTCACAAATTCCAACCCATTAACAGAATAAACGCTACACAAGCAATAAGCTTTGACAAATTATTATTTACTCACGTTCAGTAAACGAAGTTATTCTATTAATGCAAATGAAGTCTCCAGAGGATGAAATGGCGTGTTACTGGTAAGTATCGAGACGAAGGGACAAGTTGCAGAACAAACTTTAAGCTGTACAAGGAGCGAAACGTTGTTCCAGTAAAAGTTTGTTTTGCAACCTGTGTTTTGTCGTCTGATCTCTAGAAAGGGAAGAGGAGGGAAGAAAAGTGTCACCTTACCGTATGGTGTGGGAAGATGAGTGGGCTTGTGGTCGTGACATGTAAATAGGGCCCGGGTGTGTAGGTATTAGCAGGGAATATTGTAAGACATTACCATAATGGTCAGGGTGTGGTAAATACCAACCTGGGCCTCGTGTCTCCTCGGCCTCTCCACATTACTGCCTTTTAAATGTAATGACCATTTCCTGGTTTACAGGCTTTCGGCGGGGACGTCGCTAGTTGTTAGCTAATTAGAATGGGCGCGTTCAGTCACGAATTACTTGTTGGGAGGTCATTATGACGAACGGTTGTCGTTGGGGAGGGACTATTGTGGAGGGACATACATTGGTTGTCGAGCGAGGGTTGTAACGGATGGGGTCGTTAGGTTTCATACAAACTGCTCACTGGCAACACTCTATTATTTTCTCCGTCGACTCTCCTTTCAACTTGATTACTAAGAGTGTGTGAGCCCCCTTCTACTCTTGGAATGTTGAAGCACAGAAAAAGTTGCCAGAAGAGTCCTAGAAGGCCCAAGTTCCATGCTATTTTGGGTACTCTATATGTAAACAACCTATCAGAGGCGATAAACTTCTGCGTGTCACTGTTCGTTGATGTCGCGAAACTGGTGTGTAGAAAACTACAATTTGCTAGATGGTCTAGACAGGCTACAAGGGAAAATACAAAGGTAGCGTACAACCTCTGCGAGGAGCAGCTAATGCTTTTGAGAAAGAAAAATGACCTGGAAGCTGACATCGAAGTTCACTGAGGTAGCATAACAGCACGAAATAATGATTTTTAGTAATCTCTACGCCCATCAAGTAAGGAATCTTTCAAATATGTATTAGCAGGTATATGTAAAACTAGTCACTGAGAATTCAGCGACAGTGAAGAGCGCAGACCAAGCAAAGTATATAAGGAAGCTGAAGAATGCACAGAGTATATAAGGAAGCTGAAGAATGCACAGAGTATATAAGGAAGCTGAAGAATGCACAGATGTTCGCCATTGAACTATTTTTTTCGGAATTGAGAAACAAAAGCTACGTTAAAAAAAAAAAGCTTGTTCTCACCACTCAGGAGACATGATCGCGATATGGAAAGTGCTTTTAGGTTAAATAATGAACAAATAAATTAGCTACGGGAAGGTCTAGGGCACGATTTGAAATGGAGCTAAACACGTAAGCTATATAAAAGAAAGTTCTTTTACAAGAGTAAAGGTAAAGTAATTAATGGAATATACCAGTCATGTGATTGCATGAGCATTCGACTTCGTTGGAGCTACTTCCAGTAAGATTGTCTGACATCACGTTGTTTACCACATTCTTACATTTTAGGCTACCTGTAGTCGATTCGGGGGTCACTGCTTCCATGGTACTGTCCAAGATCATGTCTCCTGGGTGATAACCTGATCAATAAGGTTGTTGGTGCTGGCCTCACGAATTCCGACGTAGGCACCAAAGTCTGGTTTATTAGGAACTAATAGTCAATTGTTAAATGATCTTTCGTACTCTCGTGCGTCTTCAGGAGCTATGCAATCTTGCAAGACAGCAACAGATGGGAGTGAAAATTCTCTGAGGCAAGGCAGGTATCAGTGGCAACCTATGTCGCTCTGTGATTTCACTCTTTATTTTCACTCATTATTTATAATGAATATTCATTAACTTGTCCGTAACGAATACATCATTCGTGGTGTTAAGTAATTAAGTGATCAGATTGATCAGGCCTTGATTCACCAGGAAGCCTGATCGGAGACCAGGCCGCGGGGGCGTTGACTCCCGTAAGCATGGTTTAGGTATCCTTCAGTAGTAATTCTTTACCATAATTATATCTTCTTCTCTTTCCGCCACAGACGATGGGGAACATCTACAACTTCTGCGAGGTGGGTCTCAAGATCTCTGGTGTGTCTCCGCTACACGCCCGAGCTGCTCTCGTCTACCACAACACTAGTCTTAGTGCCGTCCAGGCCGCCACCACCGCCCACCACACCGTCCTCTTCATGGGCACCACTACCGGCACCCTCAAGAAGGTACGTTGAGCCTCTATCTCAGGATCACCGTCACGCCTTAAAAAACTCGCTGTACTGTTTCCTCTCGCTGTACCTGGGACTATAAAACTGTATTTAGATGACCATACGTAACGTTGAAGCTGAAAGTATAATGTGGCACTGACTTGGTAAGTACACCACACCTTGTGTGTGTGTGTGTGTGTGTGGTTGGTCACTGTCGCTGGAAGATTATCTTATAATTGCATCATCTCAAGATTAGTGATTCCCTTCCTCCCCTCTCTTTAAAGGACGCTTTGATAATGGTGAAAGGTTCTTGATACGAGGAATTGGAGCTGCCCCTTCTTGGACCATACTGATTACTTCCCATTCCCCAGACGCTGTACGATGCGTATTGGTTTAGCGTTTCTCAGTGAATATTGTGTAAGATTCATTTTTAGTGATGACAGACGTATGAAATATAATAAATCTTTATTATGCCTTTATCAAATTGAACAACGTTTCGCTCTTCTTGACTGAAACTTTGTAAAACAAATGATTATTTTGATATTTGTCGGCTCGTTACCTCTTCTACCTATTAACCTATTTTTCGAGGAAAACTGGTGAAAAGTGGTGCTTTTCACAGCACCAGCGACAAAGTGAGAATGTGGAGCGCTGCCATCACCATCCCCTTAACGGGCGCTCATTATCTCTTCGCCCCTTGCAAAGTGTCGGCCGGGTTCAGGGAAGGTTTTATCTCGCCACGGTCATAAAACACATGAAGGACATGCGGGCCCCCGATAGCACTCTCAGCTCCAGATAGTCGCTCCCCTTCCTCACTAGGGACGCTCAGGCAGCCAGGTGCTCCGCCTGCAGAGTTCCAGCTCTGCCAAGACCCTTCATGTTGTCTGTGCTGACCAACTGATAACAGGTGGAGAGGAAGGTATGCAGGAAGACTCATTTCCAACAGGAAAAATCATCCAGGCAGAAAACAGGGCTGTCAGGGGTAATGTGATTCTTTTTCTGACGTTGGGAGAGTTCCAAAAAGGAAGAAGAGTCGAGAGGTCATCCAAACAAAAGAGGGTCATCAAAGAAAAGTAGGTGATTAGGGAAGGTTAGTGCCAGCAGGGAACGATTGATCTGGCTAGGGGCGATCGTTGAGCCAAGGAGTGTCGTCGTCCAGGAAAGTGAGGGAATCTCTTGAGGACGAGAGGATGTTCATGAAAACTCACTTAAACCTGATATGAATGTTTGTGCAAACGATGCCTGTCTACTCAAGTCCCGGATCATTATTCCCACACTTGGGTATCTTTATTGTGGAAATGTTTCGTCAACCAGTGACTTAGTCCAATACAGAGAAGAATGGTTAAAAATCAGAAAGGATTGAAGGTGATCAGTCCCTCAACCTCGAATGATTACCTCAGATTGCTTCTGATCTTGAACCATTCTTCTCTGTATTGGACTGAGGAAGCCACTGGCTGGCAAAACGTTTCCACAATAAAGATGCCCAAGTGTTGCACGAATATCTAATTCATCATCCTGTCGATTCTGTGAACCATTTATCTACAAACTATTGGTGCCTACGATACGCAGCCCAGCATAAGCCCCACAGGCCGGCAGACACTGAAAGTTTTTTAGGCACTGATGAAGTTTCCTTGAGAGGACAGAGAGAGAAGCTGCTCATAAATCTTCTAATATTTGAAAAGTGTTGGAAAGCCTTTGTATACCTATTACACTCCTTGTCATTTTCTCCAACATTTTCCATGCCTCTCGCTCTTGTATACAGCCATCACGAAGACTTTTAGATCTTGCTCAAAAGGGCAGTATGGGGACAAAATAAATTTTCTCATGTATGAATTCCAAAGCAAATTGAGAATAAATTTGAGTGGAGAAAGAAACTCAACATGATCCAAGAATAATCTAGTGATCGTAGTAATGGAAAGTGACGTACATTAGGACGGCCAATCAGACAAAAGTAATAGCTAAATAAATAAGAAGAGTAAATGAGATCAAAGTGGTGCAAGATAATCTAGAATGCAAGACAGTCATGCAAAATATGGGAAGGTGTGGCTGCTTAGGTGTTGCTGTTGGTATTAGGGTGTTAGTGTGTCATGCAAAGAGGAGAAACAGCAAATGCTCTGTATAAGGCAGCAGGATGTGCAGTATCTTATATTCAAGGTATGGTTTTACTTTATATTGCCTCAAGGAGTTAGTTTAAACAGTTTATGTTCGAGAATACATTTACATATGAGTATTATTTCTCAGTTTACAGCAGGATTCGAACCTGTAAACTCTGTATCAGAGTACACGGTACTTTATCCACACAGCCAGATTCCAGAGTCTGCCTGTATAGATAAAGTACAGTGTACTCTGATGCCAGGTTTGCAGGTTGAAATCCTGTTGTGAACTGATAGATAATGTTTGTAAACAATTTCGCCTGTTTGCGAATTGTTAAGTATATATATATGAGTAAATGGATCAAAGTTTTACTCTCTTTACTGGTGATTTTGGTAATGTAACATAATTATTGGTAATTACACAGTAAGAGGCGAGCACTGATATCATGGTAAGCAAGCAAAGGCAGTTGATGAACTTTAGTAGAACAAAACTAATTATGGTTATGGTGGTGTGCGTATTCGTGCGTGTCATTTTTGAATGTTTGGCAAGAGGAGTAATTGAAAGGCAGTATTGTAAGAACATACATGGTGTAGTTGCGTTCCTCTGACCACTTGGTACACATGCCCTGCGCCTTTTATGAGCTCGTAAAAGAATATTTTGCGTGGCAGCGCCGTGGCTTTCGTGGTGCACGGCCTTACCCACCCAGTACGTCTTCTCAAAAAACAGCATCCCGACGTGATTACCTGAGACTGTGCAGACGATGATGTTGTATCAGACATACGCTGAGTTATGCAGTTTAGTCTTTTTCGTTTTTACGCAATTTAAAATGTTAAAATAGTAACCTTCATTCATATACTATAACACACACACACACACACACACACACACACACACACACACACACACACACACACACACACACACACACACACACACACACACACACACACACACATATTTATCCAAAGATGTGAGGGTAAACGCACGAAAGTGCATACAGAGTGTTCTTTTTGAGTTCTTCATTCTTTCCACATTACCTATGGAAATCTTTCCTTATATATTATTTCTGTCTTCTGTTGAGGTGGTTTTCATGCGTATTTTGGTATCGTCCGAAAATGATATATACCTTCGATGACTTCCCAGAGTTTTTCTACTCCTGGTGCCCGGCCATGAGCCAGGCTCGTCTGGTGCTTCCCTGTTGTTGTTGGTGACCCGCACCCCCACATATCCATCACACTCTTGAGTCTTGTAACGGTAGATAATACTAAACTGTAAATAAAATAAATTAATAATAACTATGCATATTTTTTTATATTTAAAGATGATTGAGGTTGAAGAAATATAATTTACAGCAAGTGGGAAAGACATGCAACAACTTAGGACCTTAACCGACGTACAATTAACATTTTGGTGAGAAATAAATTACTGTCATCAGGAATCATTTCTGGAACAAATATAACAATGTACAGTATACAATATACAAAAAAAAAAAGAAAATAACACACACGTTTATGGTATCTACCTGTGGTGCAAAGTATTAGGATACACAGACCCGGGGAAGTAAATTGAATATTTTTTCTTCTGCTACCCAGTGTATTCTCTACTATTTTTAATAGCCTCCCCCCCCCCCTCTCTCTCTCTCTCTCTCTTTTTAGCGTGGCGGAGAGTGAGAACGTGTGGCATATTGCTGTATCCGTCCTGGGCTGTGTCCAGGCGTCGTAGCCTTTGTTGCTCCTTGTTTATAGCCGTGGCTTAGTCCTGATCACCCCAGCACCAGGCTGGGCAGGCTGCTGTACTGCTGCCCCTGCTACCACACTGCTGCTTAGTCACTGCTGCCAACACCACCGTATACTCCCAATGCTGCCCACACCATCACACACCTCTTCTGCTACCTTCACCGCCTGCTCACACCACCACACACCCTCACTGCTGCTTAAACTACCACACACTTCTGTTAGTCTACACCTCAGATGCTGCCCATACCACCATACGCACCTCTGATGCTACCCTCACTACGATCCGCATTACCCCACACACATGCTGCTGCCTTCATTGCTACTCACACCATCACACAACTCGACTGGTTCCTTCACTGCAACCCACGCCACCGCCACACAACTATGCAGCTTCCTTCACTGCTAGCCACACACCCCTGCTGCTGCCTGCACTGCAGCTCATACCGCCACACTGCTAAGCTGCTGCCTTCACTGCTAGCCACACATCCCTGCTGCTGCCTACACTGCAACTTATACCACCACACTACATATGCTGTTGCCTTCACTGCTAGCCACACCCCCACACATTCTTGTTACTGCTACCTTCACCACCACACACCCTTGCTTCTACTGCCTTCACTGTATATAATGACTCATGAGTGCTATACATTAATATACGCATTTAGTTATATTAGGTCATCCAAATTTCTCCTCTCCATCGTTGCTTTCCTTTGTCTTATACATAATTTTCGTTGCCCCGCTCTGGGATGATGGAGATATCCTTACAAAAATTAGATTTCTCGTGTGTGTGGGATAGGCAATCCTGAGAGATGCAGTTCCCAAGTAACAGTAACTCCAGTTCTGCTAGAATGAAAAAATTCTTTTATCTGATGAACCTTTATGGAAGACTTGACGATAACTTCTTCGTCCTACTTGTGTATGTCTCTCAAAAAAAGGCTCAGAGATTCTAACACTACGTATGTCAACCATCACGTGTGATAGACTGTGATAGCTAACTATAGTGAGTTTGTTCTCACTATGTAATTATTCGATATGATAGTTTTGCTAAAGTAACCGGTCTCCCGCACCATCACACACTCCAGCTGCTGATTTCACTGCTGCTTATGTTGACCCTACTACTGCTGTTCTTGTTATTTCGCAGGTCTGTTGTACTGAGTTTTTTTTTTTGTCTGGCTCTGCTGCTGCTGCTGC